CACTCGCTTATGGTTCAATGGTTCGATTTTACTGAAGAGTTTATTATCATTAATTTTTCTCAAATTCTAATCCTTTCAGCTCTTAACCCTAGAGCGGTCTTCGGGTCTTTTTTGACCCACCGCCTTTTTATATTTTTAGTAATTTTTGCGTTTATCAAGTTTACGTTCCTTGACATTATTTTAAACGTTTATTGTCTACGTTCATATGTCGCGTTAGAAGCAAAAATTTCTACACATAAGGTCTTAGGTCCTTTTTGACCCAAAAGTCTTAAGTGTACAGTCAAAAGGAAGAACGCACTAGGGTTAAAATATACACTACCGGCAAGGCCAAAAGTTTGGAATCACCTTCCACTTTTCATCGATATTAAATCTGCTGCTAATTTTTTATAGATTTGAAGTTTATCTCAATTCTCCATTTATCAATTTATCTCATATCAATTGATTCGAATGATAAAAAATTCTCAAAATCGCTGACTTTTTTCTGGAAATTTTTGTGTAAATTGTAATGCTCGGTGATTCCAAAATTTTCGCCGGTAGTGTACGTGTTTTTTCTTAGAATATTGTAGAATAATGTGGTCACCAGTCGGTCACATGGTCCTGAACGTGTTAAAAATAAAAAACGTATATATTTCATAACTGTAATGAAAGAAAATTACATTTTAATTTAATTATTGTATTTAACAAATTAGAAAAAATAAACAAATCAAACTCTCTTCATTTTTATTATCAAATATAATGATTGCTTCATACTCGAGTAAAAATTTACCAATTTTCAGTGGAAGAGATAAATAAAAACTTGCCAAATAAATAATTTCAACCCAAAGAAATTCAGTTTAATTAGAGAAAGAAATTTATTAGATCACTTTAAAAGTATCGTGTAAGAGAAACACAGTGAAGCACTAATTTCTGCGACAGAATATTGCATTTTCCTCGTGTAGGTTTCCAATATAAAACCAGGAAATTCGAAGAAAAATACGAATCGTCGTGAATACTGGACAATTGACACAGCTCGAGTGTTTTTCTGACCCACTGCACATTTGTTTGGAAGTATTTCTGCGGAGTTGTTTATCTAGGACAAGTTTTAAGAATTTAACGAAACCACGAAAGTCTGAGGCCCGGTAACTTTAAGGAAAGGAGGTTCGTTTTAAATTCTCCGAATTTGGCAATTTGCCTGCTGGAGCTGCATGAATAGCTGGGTTAGATCCTGGCACATCTGGAAGCGTCCTAGAGAATTGTGTGGTTCGATTAGCTTCATTATATTTGCACAGTGTTTTCTACGACATGATAGTTCGCGATAGTTAAGCTCTGCGCGGAGGACATCTTGTAAAGTTTGCAATTGAACTTTCCAGTTGCAAGGAATTATTTGTGTTGTTGAGGGTAATGGAAATCGTGTGGAATGGGATGCAATTATTTTATGGAAATTCTTGCTTTTAATCTGACAATTCTGTAGAAGCATAATTTCTCACGTAAGTGAGAATAATATATGAGAAAAATGGAATGCTAATTTTTGGCAATTTTAGCTCTTCTTTTCTACAATATTTATGTTTAATTGAAGTTATGACTTGTGAGATCAAATATTGCAGGGCTTCAGACGATTTATTTAAGAAAATATATATTCTACGAGGTTTTAGTTAAGCAATAAGTATACACTGTACTGCACAATTAGTGACTGTTGATGTTCTCGTTTAATTAAACAATGTATAAATACTTCTATAATAATAAAGGGTACAGTAAAATAAGTATAGTAAAAGTATACTTAAATTAATTTGAACTTGTGGTATGTCGATCGAGGGACATTTGAATGTTAGGCCTTTGTGCCAAATTTCAGACCCCTAACCTCACTTTTAGGGTAGTTATAGACCGAAATGTGATTTACTGTTTAAGCCAGATTTCTTCTGTTCTGTCGCATCAAAAATTACGAAAAAAATCGCAGATACTGTAGCCTATGGGGTACACTTGTGGGAATTTTTTCAGATTTTTTGACTGCGAAATCGAATTTTGAAAAATTGAGAAACTTTAAAAGCGTCGATTTTTATTGGAGCTGTTAAGTCGAAACGTTTATATTCTTACAGTTTCAGCAGCGTGCTGTGATTATTAATTTGAAATTTTTTCTAATCTCTCGAGAAGGTGCACCATACTAGAAACAATTATAAATTGATACTTTTGACCCTTTCGTGCACAGAGAAATAGTCTATCGTATAAAAAAATATGTAGCATTCCATTTGAAAAATTAAAGGTCCCCATTTTTTCTCGAAAAATATTGCAAATATAAAAAAATTTACACACACTGCTATGTTGGCTATAAAGGACAAAATTTTTTCCATATAATTTAACATTTACGAAAAAAAATACCGACTGATGATAACGTGAACACCCTGTATACTTTGAATGTATCAGATCATCCCATAAGTTCGTGTGAAATTTTATAACTAAAATAAATATTTTCAACAAAACTTTAAATTTGACAAAAAGAAATTTATATATTTCATTTTTCCATATAACTTACCATTTACCAAAAAAACACTGGCTAGTAATAACGTAAACACCCTGTACACTTTGAATGTACATATCAGACGATCCCCTAAGTTCCTGTGAAATTTTATTTTTATTTAACAAACAACGTAAGCGCCTTCTTGTTCCACAACATTCTCCCATTCTTTTTGGCAAAATCAACTACAGAATTTCCTTGGATTTTCATTAAAATATTTCTCGCCTTCGCCGCGAACTTATGGAATGACCTAATAGAGCACACCTGTCGTCGCAATTTACGTGCTGAAAATTTTCCAACTTCCGTTCACAAATCTCGATAATCGAAACATTCGTTACAACATCTACAGCCAATTCTAAACTGAATTAACGCTATTTGTACAGATTGACACCTGGCTGCAAGCGTCGCTGAGGATGAGTGGAACGGCGGCGTGCGCCATTCAGAGACCAGACTGTTTCGGATACCTGAGCAAACAGCAAGAACACGCCAGAAAAACGTCATCACCGACCGGTTGGTCCAGGCGATACTGCGTACTGAAAGACGCAGCACTGTACTTCTACGACGACGCTAACGCAGAAAAAGCGTTCGGTGTTGCTTGTCTTCATGGGTTCAGGGTGCACAGCAGTGCACCAACTTCCGGCGGAAGGAAGCACGCGTTCGAGCTGCAACCACCGGATCCCACTCAGAGGAATTACATCTTCGCCACGGAATCAGAAATGGACAAGAAACGGTAATCGAAGCTACGCTTTTTAGCCAGCAAATGTAGCTAGAAACACTGAAACTTTCCGCTGTTGAAAGCGCCGCTACTTAGTGCTTTAACTTGCGAGCTATATTTCTTCCACCGACTATACGTGTAGTTATGATATGGAAATAACACTTGGCACAAGTGTTTGGTGGTTGTAAGAGAAATTCAATTAAACTGTCCTTCTAAGAGCTTTAATAAAATTTATCAGAGTAAATATTTTGTTCAAAAGTAAGGAATATTTGGAGTGTAGACTTAAATAAAGTGGTACAGGCCATTTTCTTAGGATCTAGTGGAGATAAGGACTTCATTTTTGCTGTAACTGTGCACAATTAAAAAAAATTCACCTTTCCATTTAAACAAAACCTAGGAGGCCTCCATTTTCCTTCTAAAAATTGCCTAAAAGAAGGGGTTGCACATTAAAAGAGTAACCCTCCTGTACAACTTAATCAGAGCTAAAGTGAAGTCGATATTTTCATTAGTTTCTGTGGAAACAGCTTGTAACACTTTATTTGACCACCGTGTATACTTCATTAAAGAACCTTCTTTTTCTGAAAATGCTAAACACTCATACTGTTTACTTTAAAGAAAGTAATTAACTGTGCTGTTGCTAGTCATCCTAGTGTTCATATGATTAAGATTATACGTGGTTTTCAATTAAAAATGTTGAACTAAAGTTGCAGCGAAATTCCGCATGAGAAAGAAATTTTTTAAAAGAAGAATTAATTGTAGACAAAGGCATATGAAGAGATGAGAAGAAAGTTTTTAATTAATATTTAACAATTATTTAAACAAGTTTCTTGTCAGGCATAATAATTTATTCCATAATATTAGAAAAAATCTTGTATGATTAAAGAAATCTGAAAATTTTGAATAAAAGAGAAGTTTTGAATTGAAGTAGCAACTCTGTTTATTTGCAGGTGGCTTGCAGCGCTGGAATATTCGATCGATCGATGGATAAAGATTGGTTGACAAAGACCGATCTACCGTACAAAGAAGCAAAGAAGTCGAAGCAGCGAAGATCCTTTGAGGTGTCCTTCGCCTCTTCCTGTTTCCGGTTCCTAACGAACATTGTCGCAAATCACAAATTCATCAATCACTGTCGCCATAATCACCTCGATTGTCATTCGCAAATTCATCATGTGGATAATGCCGCAGATACTCTTCAAATTCGCGATTCTTCACAAATATTAATTACTTCATGCGCGTTACAATTGTCATTTAGTTCTTCGTTCGAGAAATTTCATCGAAATCGTGAACAAAAGTAGGAATATTATTTTTTCCAATCTGTTGTTCATTCGAATTAATCAACCAACGTTGATGTAACACATTTTTCAATCTGCTATATTTTTTGCCATTAGAAATATTCTTTTCTAATTGCAATGTTTCGTTTTTTTTTTTAAATCTCGTCATACTCAACAGTTGCTGTTTAATTACTGGCCATTGATAAAAGTCAAATTATAGTAATAAACTTTGCCAAGACTTACAAGATTTACACTTAGGAGCTCTTAACTACTTGAATTTTGTATAGATTTCAGTAAATTATTTGTTATTATATACATTTCAATGATTCTGCTGTGTGATCCCAAAATTTCGTCACTCTTCTAGTTGTTTATATTTAGTATTCTCACAAATTTCGTCTATCCCGTTGTTGCCAGTGATTCTGATTCCCGGTTCACAAATTCCGTCATTCTCAGTAACACTAGCACCATTTTATGATAATTGCTGGTTGTCGATGGTGTTGTATTTATCAAAAAAAATCTCTTAATATAATTAATACTTGGAGCAACGTTTCTCAAGATGTTTCTAAGAACATCAGTAATTCAGTTTTAGTAGCATGAAGATACTCTTATAATTAAACAAAACTGAGTTACATAAAGATGTTTACATCACCTAATTACACACTGTTCAAAATAATTAAAAAAATGTCTTTACAAAATAATTTTATTAAACCATTGAAGAATATAGAAATTTTAATAAGAATACTGTTCTATTTAGTATTAGGCACCTACTTATGTATAGCATGTTCCCTATTCCTACAAGCAAGACTCAATTACTTAATTATTTTGAACAGTGCGTTTGAAAAATTGTTATAAACGTAATATTCTTTTTAAAAGGTACATACACAGATTATAAGGTACCATTGAATTAAATTCTCTTATTTATGTTTCTGTTATATTTCTAAAAAGAACTGCTTGTTTTCATTCTCATGTTATTCTACTGTTCATAAACGTCGACTTTCCTGTTACTTACTTACAATCACAAAAAATCCCAAACGAATAAGAGAAACGAGCTTCAAAATCACTTTCAATTTCATAGAAAATGTAACGCACAGTTTTTACCATTTACATAATTGTTACTTTTTCGATAACAACATTGACTAACAAATAAGGACTTGAACGCCATAAGAAAGTGACAAAGTTAGTGGTTGTACTTGTTTAAACGACGAGTAGAATTTGAGGAACGCTGCTTTAAGTAGTTAGTCCCAATATCGAATCACATAAATTTTAATACTCGTAAACTTCGTGGTTCCGGTCTCGCATTCGCGGATTTAGCAATTTTTGTATTGTTAATCAGCTTTTGGATTCCGTTTTTATATACAAATGTTGCATACTTTACCAACACGCAGGAATTGAAATCATACTTGACAAACGTGGAGTACCAAAAGAAAAAAAAAACTAGGAGACGAGAATTGTTTATTCACCGATTGTGTCTTGTATTAATTAGATCGACTCCCACGAATTTTTCTCCTACAATAGGATTCGATTTAGCTTTAAGAGGGTTCAAGCTATCGTCCACCGCGTTTTCACGAATTTCTATGGAAATTCTTCACCGAGACACGAGCAGCAAATCGATATCTGCGTTGACAAATGTTTCCCAGGTGTTTGTACTTTATCGTTCGAATAAGCAATGCTCATCCATCGTGTGCACTATCGACGAGTAAATACTTGAACGTTTATTCGTCCAAAATACTACCATGACAAACAATAACAGCAAGAAAAATCGTTCTGTTCTGCCGTTTGGATTGTTTGTTTCAGAGATTCATGTATATTATCGACGAAAATGAACGAAAGGTTATCACTTAAAGTATAAGAATTATAAATAGCAACATTCGTGAACTATAGGATTTAGATGAAAGATTTAAAAAAAACCGTGCGTTTGTTTTAGAGAAACTTTTTATTCGCTGAGGGGTGAGGAAAAGTCTTTGTTCAAACGATAATTCTTCGCTTGTATGAATGATTGAAGGTTCATTCGAATAATTATTGTTCACTTAATTGGAATTATATCATTATTTATTGTTCGAGTAGTTTGTAAAAGTGAATAGTACAAAGAAAATTTATTATTAATCGTAGTTTATGAAAGATTGAGTACACTGAAAGTTATTAAAGAATGATGTGAAAAAGGATGGAAAAATGTATTTTTCCAAATTACGTAAATTGAGATTCGAACAATCCTTTGCAAACTTGACAAAGTTTTACGTGTAATTGTTTATAGAAACTTTAAAGGGAAAATATGAATGGCTAAAATTTAGCATGATTATTTGTCGAATATTTTATCTTGTAAGTAAATATTTAGAAAACCTTTTAACCTGTTCAGTCCCAAAATCCCATTATCTAAGTTTAAATTTTCCGAGCTAATAACTTTTATTAACAAAATGAAAAATCATATTCTATGTTATATATATATATATACACAAAACATTGTGTATATGTATAAATTCGTATTATTTACAAAAATACTTCATTGAAAAATTAAAAGTAACACCAGTACCTGCAAAACATAATAATTACAAAGTGTGAATGTTATGAAAATATGTACAAATGCATACACCATTCAGAGTGATGTATAACACATTGTTGATGAGTTTATAAATGGACAATTCAAACATATTTTTCACATAAAAAGCTTTCAATTAGGAAACTTTGAATAAAATAAAAAAAAGATACATATCAGATTTTATGTCTGTTAAAAAATAAAATAAAGTAAATACTGTATAATTATTCTTATATTTATAAGAATGAAAACTTTGAAAAGAAACTATGTATTACATGGGACTGAAAGGGTTAAATAAAACAGCACGTATTGAATAAAAATGAATATAAAAAAGTATATAAGAGCACAAACAGTGAAACGTAGAAAATCAAAGAAATAAGTGTATATGAAGTACAAAGCTCTCAGATAGAAGAGCGGAAACTTAATTATTTGAGTAACCTTCAACCATGCCAAGGCGTGAGTAAAACCAAAATCGCGAAAATTTCCCGCGGGTAAAGAAAAACAATCTGCCAAATGAGTGCTTTCTTATGCGTACTCGTTACTTAAGTACGAACTACATACATATTTACCATCGCAAGTACAGATGCTCGTGTATACATGGAATTGCCACAATTACATACATATATCGCTGTAATTACCGCCAATGTTTGTATCGATATCGAGAAACCATACGAACCGTGAACTTAACCATAAAAAGGAAAAGAAAAACAGAGTAAAGTTTTCGTCGAAGACAGCGAAGAGAGAGGAGTAATAGTGTTTTAAGCAATGAAAAAGGAAGAACATTTCAATAAAAACACGTGAACGTTCGAGTTGATCGCGACACGAATCGATGTAACGAGATAGTGCTCGAGAAAGGAAGAGAAATGTGGAGGAACGAAGGACAAGACAGAGAGGCGTGATCGTAGCAGCGTTAAAAGTGACACGAGGAAGCCGCGAAATTGAACGACAGACCGCTCAAAAAGCACAGATAATAAAATAGGAGGTTTAATACAATTGTAGAATGAAGTGCGTCAATTATTTACCTGTCACCCTTCGAGCTGGTTTGAAGGACGTTGGTTTTATTGCTGTTTAGATAATGCAGTGTCTTTTCCATGGTAAGAGGATCCTCTTACCGCCGAGAAAGCCGGACAGCGGTCGCTTTTACTGACCAATGGACATGTTTTTTGTCTGTAGCGAAACTTTTTCAGAGGAGTTTGTATGGTACCTTTTTCATCGTTTCACTTGCTTCCGTTTTATCATCTTTTTTATGCTCATGATTCAGTTGGTAAGTTATTTAAATAAATGAATTTTATTTCCTCTGTTGTACCTTCTGAAAAAAGTAGTTTCTCAAGCTGGTAATACTTGTTTCATTTTTAATTTGGTTATGTATGTTTAATGAACATGTAATTAGAGCAAGTTATATCTTTCATTTACTTACAGATAGAAAAAATGTAATTTGGATAGATTTACTTTCTTATGTGTTCATTATTTTATAAGTATAGTCGTATATGCGTAGAAAAAAAATGTATTTCCTTAGTGCACTATGTATTGTTTCACGTAAATCAATTCTTCTTATCACTAGATATAAAAATGCTTCAAGAATGAATCCTTTGTAAAAAAAATTTAATCGTACAACAAATAGTCTGGTAGGTATATGGTAATGAAATAAATCGAAAACTGAGCAAAACAATACTAATAAAGAAAGAAACTTTTAAGAACTTTACACGTAATTTAGAGTATTCGAAAATAGGACAATAAGAAAAGTTGATTTATTTAAATGAAATAATAATTTATGCAACTACGTTTCATTTTATGTGAAGTGTATTTTATTATCGTTCTAGGAAAAATAGGTGTAAAAAGTGAAATTTTATTAAACTTCCATTCATTTCTGTCTGTAATTTAAAAAAGATATGATTTGACACATATATGTGATTTACAAAAAAAAAAAAACGCACAAACTCAAATTTGCGAATTTATTAAAGAAACATAATATCGATTAAGGATTAACGAATTTGTAAATAAATCGCATAAAAAAGTTCACTAGTCTCATAGAGATAATTTTATATAGAAAATAATGTTTTTGGATAATTTATTAATTACACTACTATCCTCATTCTTAGTTACGTTGGTAGTGTTTAAAAAATACTATCGTCAATTTAATTCTATCATTATTTTAATATTATTTAATAATATTCTATGGAATGTTTAATTCCTTTGTTTAAATTTCTCAAGCGTCAT